TGCTGTTACTTTCATACCCCATTTGCTTTAAGTAAATCCTTCTATTTTCTGTTCATGGATCCGAAATTTTATATATTTTTTTGTTCTTCAGGATATTGCAAACTCTGAACTTGCTCCAACACATCCAATTCGTCTTGGACTTGCTCTTAACTTCTCAGTTTTTTACTATGAGATTTTAAATTCTCCAGATCGTGCATGCAATCTTGCCAAACAGGTATAAATTATAAAATTATAATAAAGTTATAAAGTTATAACTTATAAAATATAAAAACTTGAAATCATTACAATTATTTTTCAGGCTTTTGATGAAGCAATTGCTGAGCTGGATACATTGGGGGAGGATTCTTACAAGGATAGCACTTTGATCATGCAACTTCTTCGTGATAATCTTACTTTGTGGACCTCTGATATGCAGGTATTAAATATAAACACTGTTTATATTTTATAAAGAGTTTAAATGTTTTTTTTTTTTTTTAATATAAATTGTTGATTAATATGATTATTGATTATGACAGGATGAGGGGGCTGATGAGATCAAGGAAGCAGGGGGGGTTGCAAAGCAAAGTGAGGAGCAAAAGGAATGAGCTGATTTTAATTTTATATATTATTGTTTTTTAAATTTATTAGAAGGTTTGATTATATATTTGGTAATTTGTTATTGAAGAATTGAAGTGTGTTGAATTATAGTAGTTGGGCTTTTAATTTATTTGCAATCTTCTTATATGCAATTTTAAAAAAATGGTTCTTTTTTACCTTTTCATTTCACAAAATAAAATTTAAAAACAAATCTTTTAGGATTTTTTTTCTTACAATTATTCCCCAAATAATTTTTTTTTTCAATTATTCCAATTAATGCACCGGTCAAAGTATAAAGTGGACCAATCGAATTTAATGCTAGATTTGCCTGCCATTGCGATATAGATTTTTCTACACAAATGTTATGTACAAATTATCTTTAAAAAAAAAATCAATGATAATTTGTAAAAAAGATTGATTGAGGAGAACCACAAAAGAAAAAGCATCCATCTTTTCTTGATCCTTGTTCTTCTAAATAACTATCTCATGACAATTTGCCACAAAAGATCACATATAGGCATGATGTTAGATTTGACAAATTTAAGATAAACAATTGAAGAAATTTGGAACTATAATTGTGAAAAACATGCATTACAAATATTAAAAAAAAAAAATGTCTACAATTTAACCCCATTCTATTCCAGCAAAATCAAAAGAAACAAACTCAAAACCTAGGGTTTCTTTTTACATAATCAAATAATCCATTCATGTACATAGGATTCTTTAGACAAATTGCTCAACTATTGTTTCCATACTACTGATCTTTCCCCCAAAATTGAACCATGGTTTCAGCATATACATATATGTATACATATACAAACATATATAACTTCTTTGTAATGTATATGTATTTAGATCAGTATTTCAAAACCCTAATCTTGAAACTTACGAATATTGCTTTAGCCCCAATTGAATTGATGATTCATCAGAGGGATTTCCATCTAGGGCTTGGTGCCGGAGGCGTCGGAGACAGTGGTGTTAGTTGTTGGAATCCGAATTGGTTTGTTGGGGAGAATGGAAATCCGGGAGATAACATCGGGAACTGTGATCTTGGAGAATGTAGGCAACCGAATGGAAGCGGAGACGACGGCGCTGTGAACTCCGATGGCGGAAGGGAACCCGGTGCTGGTGGTCGGGGGTGTAGTTGTGGAGGCGGAGGTTGAGTGAAGCCTGGGATGTTGGTTTGAAAGCAACGTAGGTACGCGGAGATCGGAGATTCGGCCGTCGCGTGTACCGATGGTAACGGCGGAAGCGGGGAAAGAGGCTGGTGATGCTGCCGTTGACTGGTGAAGAAGTTTCCTGGACGGAAGCTAGGGTTTGACTGAAGCACACCTCCTACGGCGTTGGGCGGACGGTTTCCGACGTGTTCCAACGGCGGAGGACGAATCCTTTGTAAACGAGAGCTTTGTGGTTTCACTGGTTGAACCGGAGTCGTCAGGCGTTCGTGTGCCGGAGAACCGGTAAGCTTCTGAACAACATCCCGAAAATCGCTTTTGCTGACATTATAAACCGGCGGTTGATGTTGTTGCTGGTTATGGTGGATACTTGACGGCTGAGATTCAATGGCGTGATCCAAAATCGACGGCGGAGGCGGAGGCGGAGGCGGCGGTGGATGAAGCTGATGAATTTGATGATCGAACTCAAAGGGTTTTCTAATGGGCGGTTTCGAAATCTTATGAGACAGTTTATGAATCTGTTTCAAGTACTGATCTTTGCCACCAGTACTAGAATCAAGATTAGGGTTTATAGCAGAAGATTCTTCCCCAGATGAATGACAGCTTTTATCCATCACAGACACAGTGAAAACACACACTGAAACACACAGTGGAACTTTCTCTCTCTAGATCTACACACAGGCTCCCCTTTCGTTCTCTCTCCCTCTCTCACTCTCTCTCCCCCTATATATGAATCTTTCTGTATAAATTTGGGATATTTTTTTAAGGGATTGGAGAAGATGATTGATTACTTTGTGGGGACGATAACTTTAATAAAACAGAGTATAATCTAATCTAATCTGAGCTCAAAATCAGAGACAATCAAACAATATTATATATGATTTCAGACATCTTTTAACGTTGTAGATATGTTTGTATGAAGTGAGAGAGAGAGAGAGAGAGAGAGAGAGAGAGAGAGAGAGAGAGAGCTTAGAAGAAGGATAGACCAAGGGACATCACATGGACCATAAAACACTTTTGACACCAATCTTTGCTTTACATATGGGACATGTTTATATATGCAATACACATGGGTAAAAACGTAATTTCATAGAAAACTAGCAAAGATCATGAAGATGCGTAAATGAAAGCATAACATAGATTGAAAACATATGGATATGGAGAATTTTTTATATAAATATATTTTTCATGGGTAATGAGAAGAAGATGATAAGCTTAAAAAAAGGAAGCATAAGGGAGTTTTATATAAATGTATTGGCATGGGTAAAACAGGTAATTTTGTTTAAAAAAATAAAAATTCACATGAAATTCATGAAAACACATGGACATGATGAGAAGTGGTAATATCATTGACGAAAAGTTGATAGGACCTATTAAATATTAATGGTATTTAATGGTTTGGTGATTGAATTTAAGTTATTTAAATGTATGATTCCTCTCAAATGAGTAATTATGTCAAAGACCATATGAAATGTTATTTACATGACTTCGAGTCAAAACAAAACTCTTCTTGACTTAGAAAAACGTATTGACTTGGAAATGTTTTCACCAAGTAAAAGTATTTAATTCTTGTTCTTATCACATTGAAGTTTATTTTAGGACTTTCTAAAAGTCAATAACATGAGTTTTGCAACCTACTTTTACGAAATTTCTAAATGTTGTTCATAGTTCCGAACATCTTTTTCATTGGATACATATTTCGAACATGTTTTCATACATGTTTTTTTGAAGAAAAAAAACATATATGTAGATCACATCTTCTAATAATGATATGGGTACAACTCGTGATGACGTCATTACAAATTGGATTGAAGATTTGATTAAATCAACATCAAATATGTGGAATCGAGTTTTTGTTCGAAAAATTACATAAAACTCGTATGGATAAGGGTAAATGGGTCGACTAACAAAACAATTGTTTCAATTTAACATAATATTTTTTTTTCTCTTTCGTTCGAGAATGTTGTCGTTTCAAAACAATGTTTTTCTACTTTTACGATTTTATGAATGTTTTAAAGACATTTACGTTCGCTTGAGATAATTGATTATGAATTTTATTATGACAAAATTACACGTTAGATACCTAACATATATAGTTTATTGCACTATTCATCCAACTTTTAGCTTTGTTGCATAAACGGTCCTTCATCCAAACCTTTGTAACACTACGGACCCTCACCCAAACTTCCGTCAACCTCCATTTGTTAAGACTCCTCATGTGCCTTTCCATGAGGGTAAATTGGGCTTTTTGCCACACACACATACATACACACACACACAGACTCTCTCTCTCTCTCTCTCTCTCTCTCTCTTTCGTAATATGATGCTTATCGACACTTTTACCTACCATTCGAATAATTAAAAGAAAGTGATAAAGAATAACCAAAAGAAGACGAAGTTGAAGATGAAGACGATAAATATTTTTTCCTAATTGCCTCTGAAAAAGACTTTTGATTGCTACACCTACTCTCAAGACCATCTTCATTCTATGATCTTCAATACCCTTTAAGACATTTTCCGATATTAAGTATTTTGACTTTTGGAAGAACTAGTTTTCTTAACTTTTAGGTATTTGGTCTGGAAATGTTTATCAAAATTTTCTTCAGTTACTAATTTTTAATGTTTGAACCATAAGTAGATCTTTGTTAAACGGATATTTGAGATAGTTTCTAGAAGCTTTAGGCTTCTAAGTTGACCCTGGCTTTGTTGTTCATGATTAATAATGCTTTCTGGGATGAATTTGAATGTGATAATGATCACCGATGAATCCTATTAATTTTGTTAACCAACCAAAGAAGTATTCATTTGAGGTTAATTTAGTGTTTGCCCTACAAGATTCAAAAGGCTATATAGTGCATCATTGAGAAAATGGAGTGGAAAATGTAATAAACTCTTATTGTCATTCTTTAGCATTTTGAATAAGTGATTTCTGATAGAATTTTAGGAACGATAGATTCTAGAATGAAAAAAATCACATGAAGATTTGACAAATTGATAAAACATACAGAAAGGTAAATAAGATCAATTTTACATTAATTGGTAAAAAGAACAAATTGTTACAAGATGTTGTGTAGAACTATTTTATGCAAAATTTACCCATTCTACTAACTAGTGCTCCTATATATTCTGAAATCTGAACAACACTTTTCAGAATTAAGGAAAGGCATTATACATGACAAACAAATTGCGAACAACACATACAACTAGAAACACCATTATTTCTGAACCCTAGCAATCTCCCTCTTTGTGTCAAGTTGTTGTTGTGGTCTTTTCTTTCACATTCTTTGCGACTTCCAAAATCTTCGGTATAGTCTTCAATAGAGTCATCCGAATCACAATCCACCATTTAAGCATATTAGAAACACACTTCACGTCGCCTTCATTATTTGACTTGTTTGCCTTTTCTCTATCGACAATTTGATTCAACATTGTAGTAGAATATAGATGCTTATCTCGTAAGAATAACAACTTCTTGTTTACAGCAACATTCGCCAAAGGAACCTTCATGATATTTTTAAAACAACGGAATTGAAATGCCTTTGTTGTAATCAGAAAATCCAACTGACACTTACTTTCATTTTTAGTAGAGAAAGAGGTCCGAGGCTCCAACAAAAATAGTTTCGGATAATTAATAGCTTCTTTCTGAATCTGATCAACATTCCAATCCGGAAATATGGCCTTCGTAGAAGCGAGAATTTCTTCAACGTTTTTCTCTTCAGCTTCAAATTTTGCTTTTAATGCATTCAAGGCATCAAGCTCCTTGTCACGCTTTTCACGTTCCCTCAATTCTTCTTCATATAACTTTGGGTTTAGATCAACATCTTCTACTAAAATTATATTTAACTTCCCTTTACCTGATCTAGAAGATAATTATCCTTTTGTAACATCCAAAAAATACGGTCCAAAAATTTCGTTTTTAAATCATTAATAAAACAATGAATATCATCATTGTATAAAAATCATAAATCATGTATCTCAAAATATCATAACAACTGTCAATGTATCAAAATCACATGTCAAAACATTAGAGTGAAACATCCCAGGCTGAAAAGTTGTGGTGTGTGTCATGCAGTCATCCCGAACTCTTCCCTTGCTAGTGGAAATACCTGAAACCAAAACTAAAAACTGTAAGCACGAAGCTTAGTGAGTTCCCCCAAACTACCACATACCATACAAATAAACACATAAGAGCATATAATGCGCCTTGCCCACTACATCGGGCCCCACCCGGTATCAGACGAATCCAACATCGCCCCCCCCCCCCCCCCCCCAATATCGGACCAAAGTCTGGAATACATATAACATAGCAACATGCAAATAACACATAAACACACAACATATAACATATAAATATATAAACTAGAGGTGGCAATCGTGTCGTGTCGTGTCGAAACACTAAATGGGTTGAAAGTGCTTGACCCTAACCCGACCCATTTAATTAACGTGTCATGTCGTGTCAACCCGTTTATTTTCGTGTCGTGTTTGTGTCGGGCTTCGGGTTAGGGCTATACCTTGAAGTATGTCGTGTCATGTGAGGTTAAAAGATTGAGCATGTTGAAAAAGTAGGAGTTGGGTAGGCTGAAAGGAAAAACTAATAGACTGGGTAGGCGGATGACAAGCTCGTGAGGATGTGAGAGTGGTGAAAGAGACTGGGTAGTTTGGGAGAGAATGGAAAAATTGAAATGAAGTCTTGATCTAGACGGCTAAGTCATTTCAACATTACAAAACAATTGAATTTGAAGGTTCTCTTTAACTTATGGTTTTGGTTTTGTATCTTTCTGGATTATTTACATAATTCAAAAAACTTGCATATAAATAAACGGGTCATTTTCGAGTTATATTTGAGTTGAAATTCTCAAACCTAACCTTACCCATTTAATTTTTGTGTCGTGTCGTGTCAACCCATTTATTTAAATGGGTTGAAATATCTTACCCAAACCCGTATATTTCGTGTTGGGTTTCTTGTCGTGTCAATTTTTTCCACCTCTAATATAAACCTTCCTTGGGCTTGCCCCGACATCGGACCGAAGTCCAGAACACATAACATATAAGCTAAACTTCCTCGGGCTTGCCCCGACATCAGAACGATGTTCAGAACACATAAACAAACACATGCAAGATTCACGAAGACATCAAGCATACAAACATTCATTGGGTTTGCCCCGACATCTAACCGAAGTCCGGAATATATAAGCTGCATCGGGCTATCCTCAACATCAGACCGAAGTCCGATATATGCTAACATACATAAATGAGATGACATTGGTGCTTTCGACCCATTCCTACTGGAGTAAAACTCACCTCACACTATTGAAGTCCCAGACAAAACCCTAGCTACTAGATGACAGATTCCCGAATCCGTCAACATCAAAATAACACCCAAATAATAATTGGGTTCCAACACATATCCATACGTCCATGCTTGGCATAAAAGACTACTTTACACCTATCTTAGCTTGATTCAATCCCAATGCCCAATCCAAAGGCCTAAAAGTCTAATAATGAACCAAGGCCCAACTATGGCCCAATTTTCCAAATTAGGCCCAAACCTTTACATGGTCTTACCATCAGTCCCAAACATTTATTCTTGGTCTAACAGTTGGTATTCCACTATCTTTGAGAAATCCCGCCTCAAAGTCTCAAATGCTACCGGCTGCTCAGGCTTCCGACAGAAAATGATAGTCGTCTTCATCAATCGGGTTAGGGGTACCGCTATCTTTTAGAAGTCCTAAATAAATCTACGATAGTATACAGCTAACCCAAGGAAACTCCAAATCTTAGATGGAGATATCGGAACCTCCCATCTCATCATGGCCTCCACCTTGGCCGGATCGACCAGAATATCGTTCTGGTTGACAAGGTGTCCCAGAAACTGCACCTCGCGCAACTAGAACTCGCACTTGGAGAACTTCGTGTATAGCCTCTCCCTTCTTAGGGTATCCAACGCCTATTGCAATTGCTCCCCATGTTGCTCTTGGGTCTTGGAATAGACCATGATATCATCAATAAATACTATCACAAACTGATCCAACATCGACCTGCATACTCGGTTCATGAGGTCCATGAACGCGACTGGAGCATTGGTGAGCCCAAAAAGCATCACCACGTACTCATACTGACCATAACGAGTCAGAAAGGCTATCTTATGCACATCATCCTCCTTGACCCTCATCTGGTGATATCCCGAGCGCGGATCAATCTTGGAAAACCATGACGCCCCCCGAAGGTGATCAAATAAATCGTCGACCCTCGGGAGTGGATAACGGTTCTCCATTGTTAGCTTGTTCAACTCCCGATAATCAATAGACATTCGATATGACACATCCTTCTTCTTTACAAACAGGATCGATGCACCCCAATGTGAACTACTCGGCCAGACGAATCCCTCGTCTAACAGCTCCTATAGTTGTGTAGACAACTGATGCATCTCTGGTGGAGCTAAACGATATGGTGCCTTGGCAATTGGAGCCGCACCAGGAATTAGATCGATTCGGAACTCCACTTGCCTCTCCGGAGGCACTCCAGGTAAATCCTCTAGAAACACGTCTGGGTACTCTTGAATAACTGGCACATCATCAACTGTTACCCTATCCCGCTCCCGAGTATTCACAATGTGAGTAACAAACTTAGAGCAACCCTGATGGAAATAGTGTCTGGCCGTAGCGGCTGAACATAAAATGGGGTTGTGTTGAGTTCACTCTCCCTGGACCACCAACTCTCCCCCATTTGGGGTCCGCACTTGCACTAGCTGGTGCTCGCAATCAATCACTCCCCCATTAGGGCTCAACCAATTCATCCCTACGATACCTTGTTCCCACGCATAGGAATGGGTACCAAGTCAATATAGTAACATTCATCGCACATCCTCAAAACACAATCCTAATGGACCCTCAATGCTCGGACGAACCGCTCATCTGTAATCTTAACCTATAACAGGTAGTCTATCATGATGGGAGATATGTCAAACTTCTTGTTGAGCACAAGAGATACAAATGATTGGGTAGCCCCCGAGTTGAAAAACACTAAAACAGAAATATCGTTCATATGGAACGATCATAAAACGAAACACATAAAATATAAGTATCAAAATCAACCTATAATAAGAGTTAAGGGAAAAAAACATACCCATCACCACATCTGGTGCGGCCCGTGCCTCCTCGGTGGTGAACTGAAAGGCTAGACTCCTCACCACTTGAGCATCCGCCTTGCCTTGAAGGCCATATGTGATCCGCGGGGTCACTGGAGCGGGCGCTACCACTGGTTGTCCCGATGCTAGACTCGGGCAGTCGTCCTTCTTGTGGCCCCTCTGATTACAATGAATGAAAACCAGGTATGTTGTCTGAATGGTGGTAGTAGGGGCAATATAATCCTTGCTAAACCCGGTCTTACCGCACTTGTAGCAGCCTGAGCCCCCTGCTCTACAAACTCCCTCATGCAACCTGCCACATTTTCCACAGTGGCCCTGGCCCTACCGTCCCTTCGATCTCGAGTCAAATCCCTTGGGTTTCTTTACTGAAACCCCAACCATCTGTCTAGGCTCTGCCTTTCTCTTCCCAATGTGCTCCATATCAATCTCTCGCTCTTGTGCCCTGGCGATCATATCATCCATAGTTGGGCACACCGAATAACTAACGAACTCCTAAATATCTGCTCTAAACATGTCGTGATATCGGGTTTTCCTCATCTCCTCATCAGTTGCATACTTGGGCACCAACAAGGCCTTCTCCATGAATTTGGCGGTAATCTCTGCCACAGTCTTTGTCGTCTGTCTCATGTCCATAAATGCCATCACAACCTGGTGTATCTCCACTGCTAGTGCGAACTCTGCTCGGAACTTGGTCACAAAATCTGGTCAGGTCATAGCTTCAATGTTTGGGCCTCCCAAAGTATAACTGACCTCCTCCTACCAGTCCCTATCCCAATCCCTCAAACAACACATAGCAAACCTGACCTTCAACCCCTCAAGGCAGAAGTTGGTCATCTGAGCATACTTAATGTCTACTATCCACCACCTAGCTGCGATGGGGTCCTTCACCCCGAAGAAGTCTGGTGCTCCACATCCCCTAAAATCCTTGAAGGAGAGCATGCGAGCCACAGACTGGCTAGGTGCCATATCACTCCTGAAGGCCCTATGGGGATCCTCCATCATCTCAATAATTCCCTCCTTGATCGACCCAAAAATCATCGAGGTCACATTAAGGATGCCTCTAGTAATCTTGAATGCAATAAACTCTCGTAGACTGTCATCAGTCGGCTCGGAACCCATTCCCAAACAAGACCCAGATCCTGAACCTCCTGCTCCCTAACGTGTCATCACCATTTTGAAACCAACCATATAATTACCAAGATCATGAATACAAATCGCAAAATTTCACATCTTACAAGCCCTCCCTGGTCTCCTCGTGGCTCTCCCTGAATTGAGTACAAATGCTCTGCTTTCAATAGTACGGGTGCATACTACCTTCCACATCTACCCGTACTTTCCTCAATGATTGATTTAAATCTTCCAGGTCACTTCCTATCCATAAATACAATTTGAAATCAAATAAGGCGCCTAGCACTAATCTCTTCTAGGCATTCCCTAAGACACAATTCTCACTACTCACTGCCATCAGCTGCTGAAAGAACTCCTGCTAATTCTCTATAAGTAGTTCATGTATACTGTTACATATCACTAAAACCAGATAATTTTTCAAATGTGAGGTCTTACCCTACAACGGTTGGACTCAAACAAGAGTTGCGCAGTAGAGACAAACCTAACCTTCTAAAATTGTTTGGTTCGCATAACATGTAACTTGGCGTATTCGCTTACTAGTTAACTGAAGTCAGTTAGAACTCCTAGAAGCACAAAACAAGTAGCATTCGAATTTCATGTAACAAGAAATAAAAATATCCTAATGAGGCCATCCTATCACTGACTGATCAACACTAGCATACGAGTCTACAAGCTCATACAATAAGCATTTAAGGCATCTCTCTTAGCATTCTATCATGAAAAAATTGAGCAAATCCCTAGCCCTAACTAGCATGCAATTCACATATTCATAAACCAAATCATAACAAATAACATGTATGGGTATCTTGGGGAAAACTTACTTGAGCTCGACTGATTGCATGCATCACACTCCTCATATTTTATTAAAACCCTTAGTTTTTTTAATAGTTTTCTTATAAAAACCTACCAAATCCTCGATTTGAGTTCAGACACACCCTAGAGTGTGACCGAATCCCTCAAACTAAGGCTATGATACCAACTTGTAACATCCCAAAAATTTCATTTTCAAAGTTACTAAACCCATATCCCACAACAACATAAGTTTCCAAAAGCAGTGTGAACATATGATGATCATAGTATTTAAACAAAACAAAACATAGAAAAGCATTATATGAGCATAAGTTCTAAAATCTCTACTACGGAAAATCATAGTGTGATGTGATGCGATCATGCCGACCATATTCCCATTGACCTGGAAGTACCTGAAACACAAATGAAACTGTAAGCACGAAGCTTAGTAAGTTACCCCACCATAC